CTATACGAAGTTATTACGGCGGGACCCACCGACGGAATTACATTGATATTAGTATCGTTTGGCCCGACAGATTAATTATTAAAACGCACCTCTCCCGCCTGCTGCCTGTGGCCACTCAGCCCGCACATGTATTTGCGTTTCACGCTAACGCTTTAACACAGAAAACACAGCGGAATATCGTGCGCCAACAATTGTCGAAGGCTTTCGTGCATGCGAGCGAAGCCTTTTGCCTTAACTAAATACAGCCTTGGCTAAAAGTATGGGATGCTTTTAACAAGCTATGCGTATATATTCGGTCAAATATCTCCGAACTCGTATTTTTCCGTAATAGCCAAATCATGGAAGGATTTAATGGCGAAAAAATTTGCGCCGATAAGATGTTACAATAATTATTTAGACGTAAACTTACCTTTCTTCGCGTGCAATATGTCCGCCGGATCCGGTGGGAGGGACGAACAATGGCTCGGACTCAAACTAGATTGTATCGACGAAAACGGACTTCCTGCGCTTGATGGATACCTAAGATAACAATTGTTCTTAATAAATACATACGATTTTACATTTTACAAAGAGAATTAATTTTATATCAAGAGATAAAAGCACTTATAAAACTTATAAAAATTTAGCAAAAAGTTAGGAATAATAAAATTTACTCCAATTTAACAAAATTATTTTATCCTATTTCATTACAGAAATGATCTCGCTAATCCGCTTTATGTAATAAATTAATTTTAATTCTTTCTTCTTAAAGTTAATTTTTAAAGATAAAAAGTTTGAAATAAATCAAAAAGTAATCCTTGTTTTGAGGTTTTAGAGGACACACGATTGACATAATAACGTTTAAACGAGCATGCAATTTATCTGTCAATGAATGTTAATTTTACCAGGGATTGGGTCGTGGCCAGCCGGTGGTCTGTCCGTTTAGTAGCCTGAGTTTATCGTAAACGCTCTCTGCCGGGCTGCCAGCACCGACGCCAACCCCCACAGCGCCCACCCCTTGTTGCTGCTGTTGCTGTTGCTGCCTCTGCTCCTTTTGCGCAGCTAGATTCCTCAGTACCCTGTTGATCGAAGACACCTGCAACCCAAACATTAACCCGTAAAACAGAGAGATCATGTATTGCTTTACTTTTGATAACTTTTTGATGTGTAACACCATTTGCATTTAATGATATTTCGCAAAAAAAGGCAAACTCAACTATGCAGATTTGAAAAACGATAAAAAAAATGAAATTATATCAAGATAAAATAATATCAAGAGAGAGAATATAGACCTAATTAAATATAAATGAAAGAAATAGAATTTAATCCCTCCTTGCATATACTTCTAGACTATTCTTTAACTACATTTTTGTTTTCGTTAAATTTATTCCTTTTTGTTTTTCTCTCGTCCTAAAATTTTATGTAACGCAGAAATATAGCGAAGAAAATATTTCCTTTTTAAGGAGCATCTTCGGAGGATCGCCGGATGGCATTCCGGAGCGCTTCTCTCTCTCTCTCTC